TGGTAGTTCCTAACTAGCTATAGCCCTACTCAGCAATATATTGCTCAGTGATATAGCTAACTTTTATCACCAAAATGTATAGATCTGTAAAAATGTTCAGTTTTACAGTCATTGGGAGACAAGTGGCAGCTTATAAAGGAGACAGACTGGCCATCTCCGAGCTGTGGCAGGAGCACCAGTTTATTTTAAAGTGTAGGCCTCATTTACATTTTTTACTCCTTCTCGTACCACAAAAAATTTCATTAGCTTTTACCTCAAAGAGCCCTTCCTACTATACCACAAAGTTTTCATGGCATTACAGCCATGCACACTTTTGATTTACATGGATTTCGTAGTTCCCATTACTATCATCCCATTTCACGGAGGGGGCATTAAAATTCTCCCATTGTATGTCAAAGCTCCAAGAACATTCTTGCAGTGAAGTATCAGTTCAATGTCAAATGAATGAAGTTATGCAAAGAATTCAAACATTGTTACTGCATATGAGAACACACTGGCATGATATTAGATTAAGAGTTCAAGTGGAGAATTTTGGTGATTCAGTAAGCACACTGTATGGAAAGAGCCAAAGATGTATACTATTATTTTAAGAACATTTCTGCTCAGTGTTCAGTTATTTGGTTCCAGAGGAATGGAATATCTCAAACAATACAACTGACCCTTGTGCCAACAGATTATATAGAGTAAAATACAACCAGAGCTTCCAGTCTTAATTCTAATTCATGGAGATTTGCTAGAAACCAAGATTAGGACCATGTTCAATGGTCAAGTTGTAACAATGCTCCCTGGCTAATACCCATTGTAGGTGATATTGTCTAATCCTATTCATCTATTTGCAACATCATCCGAAAACACAAATTCCATTTGTACGTTGATGAAACCTAAACCCAATCTTGTGACCTCTACCAAATCCTCCACAATGCTCATCTGACAGCTAGTACTCAATGCGCAGAAGGTTCGGGAATTAAATATCCTGAAAATAGAAACAAGGGTTTTTAGTCTTCATCATAAACTCCACTGGCTGGTCACTAATTCTCCTCTTCATCCTGAACTCCTGTCTGAGATTAACCCAAAATTAAACTGTTCATATTCTCAGATGAGATTTGACCCTTTGCTAAGCTTCCGAGCACAGATCTTTTTCATAAAAAGAAAATCCACAATCACCTTTTTAATATAGCTCAACTGCATTCTGCCTCAGTCAATTAGCTGATGAAATTGTAAATAACAAAGGCATGGATGACAGACTTACAGGGTCAGTTAAGTCAGTTGCTGGACAGCTGGTTCGCAATTCAGGGTGACACCAACAACGCATCTTCAATTCCCATACTGGCCGAGATCACCATGAAGGCTGAGCCCTTCTCAATCTCTTACCTCACCTGTGGCATGGTGACGCTCAGGCTAAGTTCATCACTAGTCCAATGAGAAAGAGCAGGCAATGATCCTTTGGGATTACAGATGCTGGTGCTTCACTTTCGCGTCACATACAGACTTAATTATTGTAATAGATCATAGATCATAGAATCCCTACAGAATAGAAACAGGCCCTTCGGCCCAACAAGTCCACACCGACCGTCAGAGCATCCCACCCAGACCCATCCCCCTATAATCCACACATCCCTGAACACTATGGACAATTTAGCATAGCCAATCCACCTAACCTACACATCCTTGGACTGTAGGAGGAAAACAACACCCGGAAGAAACCCATGCAGACAAGGGGCGAACGTGCAAACTCCACACATACAGTCACCCGAGGGTGGAATCGAACCCGGATTCCTGGCACTGAGAGACAGCAGTGCTAACCAACGAGCCACCGTACCGCCCCATGTTCTTTTTTCAGGAATCCACCTTTTGTAAAATTTAGTTCATCTAAAAGAGAGGGAAGCTACGCAAATGACGATAGAGTTAAAAACGTCAACAAAGGAGCATTCAGCGAACTAGAAGCTTGGAAAAATTGAAATTACAGAGGTAAATGACTACTTGCAAATCAATGTGGAATCTCTGGCTTAAGGCTGTACATGTTAAGAAGCAAATAAGTGGAGAAAATATATTGGATGTTGCTGTAATGAACCGTGCGTCAAGTGTTAAATTTAAATCTGATTTACAGTAGAAGTAGTAATAACTGCCTATTTGCAGCATTCCAGCTTTCTTAACGTATGATGGAAAAGTATCAAAATGTGACCTAATCAATATGGAAGGTGTGTGTACAGTGATTTTTTTGTGCAAAAAACTGTGCCTCAGAAATTAATGCTTTCCTTGTGGTGTCGTTTTAAATTTAGTGGATGGCTGATAATTGAGCATATTAGTGAATTCTATTTCTGCATTGTTGCAAGTCCAAATACAGACAATAATGTGACTATGTGAGTACATAATCTAAAAAGGAGTTAGTGAGAATAAAAGAGGAATCCCCAAAAATCAAACGACCAGTTTTGAGAAAATCCCTAAAGGTGCCTTTGATAAAGAAAAATTATTGTGTGCCCTAGCAGTGATCTGACATCATTAATTTGTACGTTTTGTATTCAGGGTTGCTTCATTCCCAGGCATTAAGCAAAATGGACAAGTATGAACGCGACAAAGCCTTTTAATACACATTTGCCAAAATCAATTAACAGTTTAAATTTCATTATAATGGATTTACAAAGCTATACATATCTTATTGTTGAAGGCAACTTTTAAAAATAATCTTTTATTGCTATAAGCATGTTAATACCAGCTTGTATCACAATCAATGATCATGTCTTTGTAAGCAAAACCTCCTTTTACAAAGATCGCTTACTATTGAGTATTACTTGCTTTTGTCATAAACGTTCTACTTGAAATGCCTTGTCTCTTTAAGAAAACCTTGAAATATATCTCAGGATCAAAAACATAAGACCAAGTGAGAATTTATTTTCCAAAATAATTTGTGTGGTCATCAATCTCAGTCACAGCATTCATAGAAACTAGTCACTACAGACAACTTTACATTCAGTCATTCTTTTCTGCATGATTAGGTGCAAGGTAATTAAAACATGAAGCTAATATGAAATGAAGTACAACAGCTGTGCTACACTGTACAATGCTGCCAAGGAAAACCTCATTAACCCCACAGTTCTACCTGTAGAACAATTTTGTGCGCTCCTGCAATCAAATACTTCTGAATTTAGAAAATGCAATAGCAGTACTTGATTGGAAAAAAACAGCTTGAAGACCTGGTGCCACCATTTAGGTAAAGCACTGAATGCTAGCAACCCACAAGTAAAATGCTTTGAAAAGTGAATCTATTTTACTTTGTCAAGTTAAAATACAGAGTATAATGTGGAAATTATGGGCTGAATTAGAGACAGTCAAACATTTAATAATCCCACCTTTTGAAATCCATGTCAATATAAAAAAAATTGATATCATTCAGCGGCTTGCATAGAGCAAAGAGGGGTTAAACCACCGCACTAAAAGATTCCACAACATTGAACTTCACAACTGCAAGGGAAAATAATTCAAATTATAATACCTCTTCTTCTGCATCTTTAACCTGAATAAAAAATTCTCTGTAAACATAATCTTCAATCAGATGATGTTAAAAGAAATAAATTTTTAGATTAAATCAGTGAGTGGCTCATTGTGCAGGGTTTTAAAAATCAGTAAAGATTGATGAAGTTTCCTGGTCCCTCTGATTTCCCTGCACAGAACTGCTCTCTTAGAACTTTAGAAACTAATGAAGTACGAGGCTACTAACAGATCTGAAGAAATACTACAGGAAAGCAGAAATATTGGGCTCGACTTCAAGGAATGGCAATCACACTCTGGCTGCCACTCTAAAGAGCTTCACAGATAGAATGAAATTCTGTCAGGGCTACTTCAGAAATTTGAATATACTTCAAATTTCTCAGGTACCTTGTAGTGTAAGATAGTCAGGGGAGGCAAACTATGCCCTCTCGGTCCTGGGCAATTAATTGCCAAATTCTGTGATTTAAATGTCCAACATCACAGCCAACCACATTGACAGCTTAATACCCTTGCATGGGAGCTAAGTCTGAAGTCAGCATGTCAGGTAGCTCAAGTGGAGTAGATTGTTAGGGCACAAAGGAGAAGAAGGGGATCAGGTAAGCGATGGAGTAGTTAGGGTAGATTGGATTGTGCAGGTAGTCCAGGGAAGTTGTGATTGCAAGGTGGTGTAACATGTTTGAGACTTTAATAGTTACCCAGGAATTAGGCTATGTTTTTAAAAGATCTATAGATTTCCTCAGCAGCTATTTACTTAACTGCGGTAGAAACCTCTGAATTCTCAGAGTAAAATGGGTACTTTTGGAAGTTTCCAAGTTTAGGAGAATTGCCCATTGGAATTTTTAATTTCCTAGGTATTTCCTTCAGTATCTACTGTATCAAGGATTCTTCAGGATCCCCATGCGCAGTAGCCATCTACGCTACAGAAACGACTATCTGACCATCAGAAAATCTGGACCATTATATTTGTAGACCCATTAAAAAAGGAAAAAAGTTTAAAAAGGTCTCTGCTTCCAATATTTTCTTAAATTGGTCTATGGCAGCAACTCTGAACATGTCACACTTGCTTACATTTTGAATGCAGTGATGCATGACAATGATTCAGGAATGTCGATCATCTTAAACTCAGCAATAAATTAATTATTATAATATAAATGTGCTAAAGCTGACTGTACAAACCTTACCTTTTTCATGATACAGAAATGCAAAAGGAAATGCTCACTGAGACTTACAATAGACATTTCCATATTTGATATGGTGAAGGAGAAGACGGAGCAAGAGGGAAGGAGGGATAGGGAGGAGAGTTGAGAGGGGAGCAGAGAGAAGAAGTGGGAGAAGGTGAGAAGAGAAATAGAAGCAAAGGAGAGCTCATCAATAAAACAAAAAATAAAAAAATATAGTATTGCAATGCTGTAGTTTTTGCAATCAACAATAATCAAACATGGAACGAAAATACATGACAAATTCCAAAGGATTAAATATGACGGGTTTCATCGGTTACTTCTTTATGAGCTTACCTAAATCTGTGTTTGCACTGCTTAAAAGCTGTTTGAACTTTTCATGACGGGACTTTTCTCTTATTGTCATTGGCGGTACCCCAGATGCATTCTGATCTGAAATTCGTGCCACTAATGGAATAACAGGCCGCGAAGGGAGTGACTGCTGTTTTTGGAGTGTTACTCTGCCTAAAGAGCCACCTAGGATAAAATGAAGTTACATTCATTATTTTACCCAACACAGACAAGTTAGCTGTATCCTCACAACCATGAGGACATTTAATAAATACTACAGATTATTACATAATCATACAACAAACAGTATGGATGAAACATATTACACACATGTGTTTGAAAATGGATTCACTGTGAGATCACTCAAGGAAATCACATTCTGATAGCATCAAGTGCCAATTCCATCAGCAATCTATGCACAAGTGATTTGAAATGGGTCTTTATCCCTCAATATCTAGTTAAACGTAGCATGGCCCAGGAATTAGATAAAGATTCCTTATTAAGGTTCACCGATTCACTGGATAGGCAGCGTACTCTCTCATGATTTCATTAACTTCGGATTACTACCAGGTTTATTGAACATTAATTAGGTTAAAAGTACTCAATATAAGCAATTAGGCAACTTTTTACTCAATTTACACAAAGTATAACATTTACTAAAAATGTCAAAAGCTCATCAGAGCATGCCCTTTCTTTAAACATAGAGCAGAACTCATCCGCAACACATCATTGTTTATTTTTTACATGGCTACTTGCTATTGCAGGGTCCGACGTGTTTTTTTTTTACTCCCAACTACTTCAGATTGGCTGTAATCTTGAGGTAACAGCATGATACACCTCTTAAGTTCTTTGAAGAAACTCGATAATATTTGACGCTCATGGCTCTAACTCACCCACATGCTATTTCAAAGATACTTCAAAAAATGTATCATATCTTAGATTTAGATTTTGCTGTCACGTTGTCTCAAGTACAGAAATACAGGAGTAAAGTGAAAAGTGTATAATGTCATCTTAGGTAAAAAAAAAGGTACCAAGAAAAAATAACTTCAGTAAGAGAACGAATCAAAAAGTTAAGCAATACCTTCATAGGATAATTGGAAAAATAAAGAAATAAGGTAATTAACATTAAAGACCTTCTTAATTTTTTTAGTAAAAATTGTTAAAAGTTAAATAGTTAAAAGTTAAAAGTTCAGCAATCTTTCATGAGTTCTCTGCTTATCTTGCTCTTCAGGAGACCGCATCTGCCTGTGCTCAACATAGTCACTGCAGACACCGGGGGACCTCCCTCACCACTCGCTCTTCTCATGTTGGTTCGCAATGCCATCACTGCTGCTGCTGAAGCTGCCACTTCCCTAACCTCCCCCTTGTGCCTCCAGAACAAGCCCAGGCAGGACCCACTTGCATGCAGAGATATCACCACGCCAAGCTGAGAGACTGCCACGAGCCACCAAGACCAGGCTGATCCACTGCCACAAGCTGCTGGGAGACCAGGCCGAGAAACTGCCACGAGCCACTGAGACACCAGGCTGGGCCAACAGGCTGCCACAGGCCACCAAGAAACCATGCGTCACCAAGAGACTGGGCCGAGAGACCACACAGGCGCTGCACTGGATCCGCGCTGAGGCCAGGAGTGAAGAAAGGAAACAACAAGAGAGAGAGAAGAAAAAAAGAGAAAGAAACAAGAAAGAAATGGATGGAGCAGACGAGCTCTGGCTGAATCTTACATACATAGCTAAAACCGGCACATAAAGGGCATAAGAATATATAAAGAACATAAGACTATATATTACAGTACGCCCTCAAAGTCAGGATTGCATTGCAGGAAATCACAACTTTAACTGAAATGACTAAGTGAAGTGTCATTTCCCATGTGAAACCATGTCTAAACCAGAGTTAGCTTCTGAAAGGACAACTTTGCCCAGAAAAGTTGAAAAGCTACCAATTATGCAATATTATGCATTCCTAGTTGAAATAACTTCCAAACAAAATGAGGAAAGTTCAAGTGATGAAAGCAGGATTCTTGATCACAGAGGTGTGTTTAAAAGGAGTTTAGAGTACAAGTTCCTCAATTACCGCACCTGTCCAAAGATGGGGACGATGGCTTGAAAGGTACAATGACACGGTTAGCAAGTAATGGATGTAAAAATACTTTAGATGAGGACAAAAGAGAGTTGACAACTAGAAACAATTTTTAAATGGAAAACTTGAAATAACTACCCTGTACTGACTGGTTAAAAACTAAGTAAATTACAATAAAAGAAAATAAATTATAAACAAAATCAGAAATTTCTGTTTTGTTTCTGATTTCCAGCATCCACAATCGTTATATCTTTTTTAAATAAATGATACTGTTTTAATTTGGAAGCTCTCCCAATTGTCTCACCCTGTGGAAAAAAATTAGAACCCCATTACTGCCTTACATTATACTCGTATTTGATAACCATTACCCCTTTATTTGTTGATAAAGTACAGAGAAATTGGTGGGCATTGTTCATTACCTGCCTTAAATCAACAGAAAATAAATTATATATTTTTTAGGTTAATCATAACTGTGGTTAAGCTGTGGTTGGGAGATAGACAGTGAAGTAGGTCAATCACAATGAGAATACTCAATTTTTCTTAAAGTATTGGTTACAAAGAACAAATTTCCACAAAATCAGAAATCTTAAAAAGCAGTGCAAATCTCTGAAGTAACTTCTATAATTTGGCCGACATATCCATCACAAAAAGCATGACGAATGGACATGGTCTTGACAGACTCCCAGATATCCACCTTCTCCACATAAAATCACATAATATATTTGGCCAAAACAGTTATGCAGCAAGAAGGATTTTGAAAAAACTATGCTACAAGTCAATTTATGGCTCTTTTCTCTTTGATCCAGCGAGTAAAAAAATAGACCAATGTTCTTTCAATGGACCAATATACTAGACAATTGATCAAAGCAGTCAATCACAAATGGATTTCAAAATTAGCAGGAAGACTGAAAAGTAATCAATCGATCCACTAAAAAAAGAAAAGTTGATCTGTTCCATTATTTGGATAGTCATTGCATCTTTCAATAATTGACAAGTAATACAGCTGCTGGATCCTAAATGGTTAAAGGCTTCTACAACAACCAGGGCTAATTCTGACGATGTTCATTTGATTGACTATGAAAAGCAAAGTTCACATTTATTTTACAGGCACCATAACAAACTCTATTCCATATCTGATCCAAAAACTTGAGTCTAACAAGAGCTGTTTTTTGAGAAAGCTATAAGTGAACAAAGACAGAGACAGCAAGAACTGCAGATGCTGGAGTCAGAGTCAATACTGAGGAGCTGGAGGAACACAGCAGGTGAGGCAGCATTAGAGGAGCAGGAAAGTCGACATTTCGGGTCAGGACCCTTCATCAGGACTCTGTTCCTCCAGCTCCACAAGTGAAGAAAGAACAATTCTTTTAAATTCAACCCAAAAAATCTGCCTTGGAAAATAATGTTAAAATTTATGTGACACTTAGATAGCTGTATACTCTTACATTTTAAAAATAAGTGGTTGTGTAATAATTTGTAAGATCTAAAACACGATAGTACGACATATTGGAGACGTTTCTCCCAACACTGCGAACTGATGTCTTGTAACCAGGGTAGCCTGTACCCTTTATTAAAGGAGTTTTTGTGATAATCCCAGTTATCTGCCATTCTCTACATAAATCTCACAATACACTTGGCCAAATTATTCACAGAATCCCCACAGTGTGGAAACAGGCCATTCAGCCCAACAAGTCTACAATGACCCTCCAAAAAGCATCCCATCCAGACACAACCCCCTACCCTATCCTTGTAACTTTGCATTTCCCATGGCAACGCACTTAACCTACACATCCCTGAACACTACGGGCAATTTAGCAAGACCAACCCACCTAACCTGCACATCTTTAGACTATGGGAAGAAACTGGAGCGCCTGGCAAAAACCAGTACAGCCCCAGGGAGAATGTGCAAACTCCACACAGACAGCCAAATCACCCAAGGGTGGAGTCAAACATGGGTCTCTGGCACTGTGAGGCAGCAATGCTAGCCACTGAGCCACCATGCCCCCTTAAATCAGTACTTTATTAAAAACAAACATTGTGTATTGTAACACAGTGTAGAGCTGAAGGAACACAACAGGCCAGGCAGCATCAGAGGAACAGGAAAGTTGACGTTTCTGAAGAAGGGTCCCAACCCGAAACGTCAGCTTTCCTGCTCCTCTGATGCTGCCTGGCCTGCTGTGTTCCTCCAGCTCCACACTGTTATCTCTGACCCCAGCATCTGCAGTTCTTGCTATCACATTGTGCATTGTAACCTGCTCTTATTACAAATAAGCACAGGGTTCAAAAACTGGCAGCTCAACCAGGTATGTAATCTACCTTCAGGTGGTAAAGGTTGAAATTGAAACCAGCCATCATTACTAAGAAAGCAATTCCAATTGATACTTCCATAATTTCTAATCTTTCCTTTATTTTCCTATCTCCAGCGAAGTTTCCCCATTTTGTTTTGGCAACATCATTTATTGAACTCATTGCAATGAACGTTATAACTTCTATTCTGGCCACCTTTGTGCCCAAATAAGACTGAATTTGGCGCTGATTTGTGTCAATTTCATGTTATGCACTTATACAAAGTAGTAAGCTGAGCTCGCAGACATTTCATAAAGACTGGCAGGAAAAAAAAACATGTTCTTCCTAATATTTCAGGTTGGATTTCACCGCAGTTTACAAAGATGAAATAACTGGCCAGCTGTGTGGGGACAGAAGCAAAAAGTACCACTATCTGCATTTTCAATAAAACCAGCAACAATAACTGTTGTGATGCAGTAGCTGTGTGCGTACCATTGAGCCAGGAAGCCTGGGTTCAAGTCCCAACCGCTCCAGAAGTGTGGAATAACATGTCTGAAAAAGGTGATTGAAATAACCCGCGGACAAGGGAGGAGCAGTTGTAGTATGGCGAACTGACCTTTACATGGCCGAGGCCAGACGCCAGCTCTCTGACACCTCCTCCTACCGCCTCCTTGATCATGACCCCACCCCCGACCACCAAACCATCATCTCCCAAACCATCCACAACCTCATCACTTCAGGTGACCTCTCACCCACAGCCTCCAACCTCACCGTTCCCCAACCCTGCGCCGCCCATTTCCATCTCCTTCCCAAAATCCACAAAC